TGAGGGACCTAATGAAGGTGCCACAATTGTGTCTTGTTGCACCTAAAGTATATGTGGCCCATCGATTTTCTCATGCCATCACAGTTAATTGGAGAAAAGAGAAGAAGCAACAACAAACAAAGAGAAGCTCCTCAGAGCGCACACTATAGTAGGGAAAGCAAGTGGAGTACCTCCCTATGCTTGCGAAATTCTCCTCCTCCTTCATCAAATCCATCAATCAACATATCTCCTGTGTTGAACCAAGAAATATGGTGTCAGTTATATTCAAAGCATCAAGGCCCCTAATTCTCTCCTCTCAATTTCCATTGCAGTAAGAAGCAAGGTTCAAATAATTCCAAAGAAAAATACATATATCAACAAGATCCAGGTTATCATAATTCTCTGTCTTGTCATCAACCGACAAGTTGGAAGCAATTTTTCATACTTCACCAGTAGAACAACAACAACAAACCCAGTGTAATCCCATACATGGGGGTTGGGGAGGGTAGTGTGTAGGCAGACCTTACCCCTACCTTATAGAGATAGAGAGGTTGTTTCTGATAGATCCTCGGCTCAAGAAACAATGGAGATAAAGCAACCAAGTAACAAACAATAATAACAACAATGTAATATGGTAACGGACGCGAATGATTTTGACATACTTAGATTCCACACATGTTTGACATTTTGATTTTTCGCATTCAAACTTGGGCAGTACTTCCAAGTTAATCATTTTTTGCAAGGTTTTATAATTGACATGACCCAAACGTACATGCCATAAATCATTTGACTCAAGTAAGTAAGAAGAAGCTGAAATATTATTATTATTTTCTTCCACAACCATTACATTTAGGTTAAAAAGGCCCTCGGTGAGGTAACCTTTTCCTACAAATATTTCATTCTTACTAATTACAACCTTGTTGGACACAAAAACGCACTTAAAACCGTGCTTAACAAGAAGTCCAGTAGAGACTAAATTCTTTCTCATTTCGGGAACATGAAGGACATTGTTCAAAGTCATGACCTTGCCAGAAGTCATTTTTAGAAATACCTTCCCATATCCTTCAACTTTTGCTGTTGAAGCATTTCCCATATAAACTGTCTCTCCGGGTTCAGCAAGAGCATAGGTAGCAAAAGCCTCTCTAACTGCACAAACATGGCGAGTGGCTCCTGAATCAAACCACCACAGTTTAGGATTTCCCACCAAGTTACATTCAGAGAGCATGGCACACAAGTTATCAACATCATCATGGTTTACTACCATGTTTGCTTGACCCCTTTTCTTGTCTTTCTTCGGAGCACGACACTCCGTAGATTTGTGTCC